ATTGTTTTTCTCTCCAGTCTCATCCAACCCACACAGTACGTGGCCCACCCACCATCACAGACATGCAGGCCTGCTGCTATCCTTCCAACACATCAGGCTCCTTTCTGCCCCAACCCTTTGCACCAACAGTTCCAGCTGCCTGGGATTTTCCACCCTGTCTCCACAGGGCTGGCTCTTCCTGTCATTCCGTTATGAGTGTGTACCTCATCTCCCCAGTCAGGGCTTCCGACGCAGGATGACCCCATCACTACAGTGCTACCTGGTCTGCAAGGCCCAGGGTCTTATCCTCCCCTTACTCCTTCTCTTTTCTCTTTCTTATCTCTCCACTTTATTGTATGCCAAGTACTCTGACCTTAGCCTAGTGGAGGTTGGAGGGCACTGGGACAGGGAAAGACACAACAATGCAGCATCACACTTGTCACTGTCAACGTCAGAACTGCAGAATGCCCCCATGGCATTTTCTGGATGCTGATAGGGCCTGGGCATGATAAAGCTTTAGTGGTAGAAAGTCCTGCTTTTCCTGCTGGCTATCAGCCAGAACCTTGCTCAGTTCCTTTTCATATGTCTCCTCCATCTTCAAACCTATGTTTCAGAGTCTTCCGTTTCAGAGAAAACTCCTGACTTTTAAAGGGCTCCCTTTGGCCAGATACAGGGAGGAGATTATATAAATTCTGCCTATCACATCCACTATCTTGGTTTTGTGCCTCTCCAGAACCCATACTCAAACATGGAAACTAAAAGCAGATAAGGAAAGGAGAGGTTGGGGTTCCATAGGTCAGGTCTACCCTTGGCTTGGGATATAGCCAATTGGCACGACAAAACCAAGCTTGGGGCTGAGAGGAATTTTCCAAGCCTTCTTGGAAGTCTGATTTTTTTTTTTTAAATTTACTTATTTATTTATATAAGACCCGGGGTACAGACCAGATGCATGGGAGGGTGAGAGGACTCACCAGAGACAGTGGGGAACAGAACAGGCAGACTGACAAAATACACTGCTGAGGGGAGCAGTGGGCAAGACAGGAGAGGTCTGCCGTGCCATGTGGGACCCTCGCCAGCTGGTGAGGATCAAACCAGCGCTGCAGAGGCTGTGGACAGCTCTACAGTGCTGTGCTCAACCGCCTGAGCCACCAGGGGAGGCCCAAGGAAGTCTGATTTTTTTCCAAAAAAGATTCAAGGAGATTCGAGTTGAGCAGAATGTCTGGAAGGGTCTCCTCTTCAATGAGGGCCTCATTATATGAGTGTTTGCTTGGTTTCTAATACTCGATCTCAATCCTGAGGCCATGTCAGAAAGCTGAATCTGGGCTAGACATGAGGGTCTGACTGTTACTATCACTTTTCAAATGTTATTATGATCACCTTGTGCAACTTAAATTCCAATTGGAGAGTTTGACTGAACAAAGGGTCAAGAAAAAAGACAAAGCTTACAGGCAGATCACAGATCTGAGGCATACAGCAGGGAAAGGGGAGAGAGAGAGAAAGGTCAAAACAGGGGAGGGAAGACCACAAGGGACTATGGTGACGGGCCATGGATGATATATGGTGGTGGAAAATTAGGGGAACTACACATGAGGGAAGAAATAAAATTTTGTACAAAAATGAACAACAAAGTTATAGTTGCTGAAATGATGACCTCCTCATTCTGACAGTCCATATTTATTGTTTGGTGTGAGATAAACTTTGATGAAAACACAAAAGTCCTCACCTTCCGGTGAAGTGAGCCATCATTTAATTGTCACCTCCCTGACTTCTGTATTAAAATTATATCCACATTCCAGCACTCCTAACCTTCCTTTCCTGCTCATTACCACCTTCTAATATAGTAGAGTTTACATTTTGACTTTAATTAATTGTGACTCCCCATGAGAATAAAAGTTCCAGGAGAGCAGAAATTACTCCTGCTACATTCACTGCTGATTTTCCAATACCCAAAATGTTGCCCAGCTCTGAATAGACAGAGACCCCTCAAGTCACTTAATATATCAAGTCATTGATTTAACATATGGAGAGCTTGACTAAACAAAGGGTCAGAAAAAGACAAAGTTTGCAGGCAGACCACAGATCTGAGGTATACAGCAGGGGAACAGGAGGGAGAGGGGTCAAAACAGGGGTGGGAGGGGAAGAGCACAAGGGACTATGGTGATGAGTCACGGGTTATGGTGGTGAGAGAATTAGGGGGACTACACATGAGAGGAGAAATCAAATGTACAAAAATGAACAACAATGTAAGAAAATAATAATATATAAAGAGTGTGACATAACCTACATGCTATACTTTGGTAGAGTAAAATATAAGTTACTTTTAGTCGAAATGACAAAGGAAGTTGGTTTTCAAAAAGACTGAACAGTCTGAATTTTCTACAATTTATTTTTGGCTTCCTAAGTCAGAGAGAAGAATCTTTAGAAGGCTTATGAGACATCTAGACAAATAGATCTACACAGAGAATGTTTTGTGAAGAGTAAATAAAATCAGACACATCTGATTTATTTTTCTCTCTAAATTTACAGATTAAATTAACAATGAATGAAAAATACTCTCCAGGCAAAATGAGTTTTGGGTTTCATCAAACGTGAAATGCTTTGAAAACTAGTTCAAGATGTTCACAAAACAAAGCAAGAAAAAAAAATCACTACAGCAGGAAATAATTTACTCTTATGACTGGAAATATCTCATTGTATAATTTCCCCTGCAATACAATTATGACAGCATTACATGTTAAAGGGCCAATTCCTTCTGAAAATTTTAGTTGCCTGTTCATTTCCATCCAGCTCTTCTCTAATCCACTTACATAAGGTGGAGGAAATGACAGTGCAGGCAACTGCATGTGTTTCAGTCACAGCCGAGATCGTCTTCCTAGCCGATACTCCTTTGTCTTCAATTTTCTGTTACCATTCCTATTTCCTATTTCCTTTCTTCTAATAAGCCTTCTCTCCCTGAATTACTCTTTTCCATTTCCTGGGCAGCATTACCGTCAAGCTGGACAATGAATGTCATTACTGAAAAGGCCTTCTCTGTGGGATGGTTTCCACCCTTAAAATGGGGCTGAAACATGCCTTGGGTAGAGTCTGACTGTAAGACATTTGGTGATGGTTGTTTACAAAGGGAATCCCAGGTGTGCTTCTTCTTACTATCTGGGGGAGCACTTGGTCTAGGCCCTGTTTTCTTGTTACTCCCATCTTTTTCTATCATTGTCACACTCAAAAGCTTGAGTGTGGTGGTGACAGCATGTCCAAAGATTTTAGTAAAATGGGGTTGAGGTATGGGAAAGCTGGACCTGAGTGAGAAGAATGGAGTAGGAGTTGCCAGTTTTGAAGAAGGTGTCTATTTAAGGGGAAAGGTAAAGCAATAAGACTTCCAGAAGAAAACACAGGAAGATATTTTCATGGACTTGGAATTGAAGATTTCTTAAACAGGATACAAAAAGCACTAACCACTACAGAAAAGATTGATATATCAGACTTAATTAAAATTAAGAACTTTTTCAACAAAAGTGAAAATTCAAGTCACAGTGGAGAAGACATTAATAATATATATATTTGACAAAGGGCTTAGATCCAGAACAGATAAATAACTCCTGAAATTAATAAGGACAAGAAATAAAACCTGATATTAAAGATGGACAAAAGATCCAAAGAGTTGCATCCCCAAAGAAGCTATTCAATGGCCCAATTGGCCAGCAGGGAAATGCACAGCACCACCACAATAAGATACCACCATGTACTTATCCAAATACCCACTCAAAAGACTGACAACACCAAATACTGGTGAGAATGTAGAGAACTAGATCATTTGTAAATTGCTGGTAGGAGGTAAATTATATAACAGCTTCAGAAATCTGTTTGGCACTGTCTACTGTACTTGAATATATGCATACTCTAAAGCCCGGTGTTGCTACTTCTACATATCCAGCAGGATATGTAGGAATGAGCAGATACATGCTCTAATACCAGCACTATTTATAACAGCCCCTGTTCATCAATAACAGAATAAATAAATAATGGTATGAGCATGCAATGGGTTATCAAACAATTTTAAAAATAAGCAAACATACATATATAGATATATGTAAAAAAATGGATAAAGTTTAATAACTTTATTGTATGAAAAAAGTCAGATGCAAAAAAAAAAAAAAAGAAAAGAAAAAAGTCAGATGCAAATACTAAAGAGTTTTAAGATTCCATTCATACAGAGCTCAAATGCAAGCAAAACTAACAGCACTTAGGGACGCATACCTCTGTAGAAAATTATAAGGAACAGATTAAGGACAATATTTATCTTAGGGAGTAGTGACGGATTATGACTACAAAGTCATATGAAAGGTTTGGGGGAACTGTAATGCTGTTTCTGGAGATGAGTAGTGATGCCTGGGTTTTACTTCATAACAAGTCATGAAACTGTAATTTACGTTTGGTGGATTTTATCGCTGGGTATGATATTTCATAATGAAAAAGCTTACTTATATCAGGTATTAATTACTTCCTTGTCCAGTCCTCACAGAAAACAAATATTGTCCTGGTAAACTGAAACTCTTAAACTAAATGCAAATGAAACAAAGTAATAGAAAACATCTGAGGGCCCACTTATGTGAATTAGGAAAAGGCACCTGCTTTGGGAGGATGATTTAGCAAAAGCTGACTCCTTGGGGTGAAGAAGCCTGCTGAGTGCACTGCTTAGGGAGTTTGTCTCCTCTGAGCAAAGAAAAAGGTATCCCCCACACCCAGCAGGAGCAGGACATACAGCACTGCATTTAGGTCCCTGGTTTGTTGGATGGAATACAGGCTGATTTTCTGTCCCATTTGCCCCTTTGAGTACATTTGTGCAGAGCACATATAGCCAGTCCTACCTGGCTATATGTGAGCAGCCCTGCTGAGAATAGAAAGATGACAATTATTAAGCATATTGGCACTTCCAAGCACATGCACATGTGGATGTGTGCACACTTGCTGGCACAGGACGACTGCCATCTGGTGCTGGTTGGAAGTCAGCGAACATTGTCCCTTACCGCATATCCTTCTGTCTTCTTCTGGCACCATTTCAGTAGAGCGTTGCGCTTGGAGCCACCATATTCCCGGGCCAAGGCTGCCAGAGGGTCTCTTCTTTCCACACTAGTTAGAAAAAAGAGCACACATTAAAGAGAAGGTGTTAGTTTACAGAATCCTAAAATATATGAGAAATAAATGCCTAATTAGAAAAGCAAAAGTCTAGCTACATCGAGGGAGATGCTTAAACAACCAAATCAGCCATACTAATAATACATTTTTTTAAAGACTTTTTTTTTTAAGATTTATTTTTATTTATTTATACAAGCACTGGGTACAGTGAGAAGCACGGGAGGGTGAGAGAATTCACCAGAGTCAGAGCGGGGAGCAGAGCAGGCAGACTGATGAAACACACTGCTGAGGGGAGCAGCGGGCGGCAGGAGAGGCCTGCGCGACATGTGGGACCCTCCTCCGGGTGGCCGGGGAGCAGCTGGGGATCGAACCGGCGCTGCAGGCAGCTTCGCAACCCAGTGCTCAACCGCTGCGCCACCAGGGAGGCCCCACTAATAATACATTTTTATTATGGTAAGAAAGAAAAATTAAATTGTGCTTCTTGGCTATCAGAAGTCTAGGGAGAACTTTGTTTTGTTTGCTTTTAAAAAGCTATCCATTGCAATGTCCATCTAGCCTTTTATTCGTTTACCTAATTAAGCACCTTATCAGTTGAATTAAAGATATCTATAGAAAAAATACTCTACACGTTTCAGGGTTGCACCTACATCTAAACAATATATAAGAGATAGATAAGACGAGCATTTTAAAATATTAGATTGGCTGCTTATAGGAGATGGTGGCAGCAGAGATGAAGGGTGATGTGATACCTTAGTTTGCTTTGGGGCTTCAACCCCCCTGTGGAGGCGCTCAGCAGCCTAGTGCTCCCGAAGCCCAGAGAAGGGGGTCTGCTCAGTGACTCAAGCGAAGGACTCTTACGGAGATAAGGGTCTGGTTTCAGGTCCTCGGTCCTTCCCTTTAGAAGATCTGTATGAACAACAACAAAATCACTAATTTCTGACAAAGAGAATTGGTCATGCGCTTTCTTCTCAAGTACAACACAGTTTCATTTTATTCTGAAGAACACATACGTATACCCACTTTGTTTCTAGATTAATAGAAATGCAGATGGGGGGCCTCCCTGGTGGCACAAGGGTTTAAGACACAACCTATGAAGCTATCAGCAGCCACTGCAGCACAAGTTCAATCCCCAGCCAGGGAGGGGACCCACATGGCCCAGCAGACCTCTCCTGACTCGCCTGCTGCTCCCCTCAGCAGTATATTTCAGTCAGTCTGCCTGTTCTGTTCCCCACTCTGTCTCTGGTGAATCCTCTCACCCTCTACACCTCTGGCCTGTACCCCAGTTCTTGTATGCATAAATAAATCTTTTTTAAAAAATGCAAATAGGAACATGATATTTTCTCAAAAGTATTCTCCAGGCAGGAATGACTATATTATTCAGAGGGACTAATGCCAGATTAGCCCCTTGTTCAAAAATTGTGAATTTCCAAGATGGTGTCAGCAGAGCATGAAACCAAGGCCCCTAAGAGCTTCGTGTACCTGTACCTGTCCACAAGTAAAGTACCTTGTTTTAATTGATGGGCATGTTAGGAAGATACCTATTGTGATTACCTGGTCACAGGGGCAGCAGACAAGCTGGGAAGTAAGGTAACTATTTTACAAAAGAAAATTCATTCCAACCACAGGGCCTGGTTCACTAAAAATAAGTAAAAAGAATTCTTTTAAGGCTCATCTCTGTTGTCTAGCATATGAATCTGAGTCAAACCAAGTATGCAACAGGTTGAATTCTCCAGATGATATTTCTTAAAGGACCACAAAAGCAGAAAATTTCTGAGCTTGTTTAGGTAATGTTCACACAGGAAACAGGCGCTCTAAGAATTAAGTGACTTGCTTGATGCCACTCAACAGGCCGGTGAGCAGGCCTAGCCCACAGCCACCCCGCCTCGTACGACACCAGTAAACAGTCATGGCAGAAAACAACACTTGTACTACTTATAGCTACCAATTATGGGTAGTAAGGTTAGGAGTGAGGCTAATTAGCTCCAAAGAGCAGAGAAAAACAGTGTTTATATCACTGAAGAGAACAACAAAAAAACAGCATATTAATACTGTTTCTGCAGCTTCTGATGATCTCAGCGTTGGCAAAGAAAGTCTGAAAGCAAGCAATTTTCACTGTGTAATCCTTTCTTAGTATGCCATTTCTTAGTAAATAGAATCTCCCCAGGTAGACAGGTGCCTGGTGAGGGCAAAGAGGGTGTTGTCAATGAACTATTTACTTCAGAGCAATAGCCACTGTGGTTCCAACCTCAGTATTTACTTGTCAATTAAAAGAATGGTTTCTCTACACAAAAGGAAATTTTAAAGCTGGAGGAGAAGAGAGAACACAAATATTATGACCAAAAGTTCACTGAGCACAGTTAAAAAACCACAATTAAAAAAAAAAGTTTACCTTGCACATATCAAGTTATTTGCATTGCACACGATGCAACAGGTGGAGAATGAAACTGAGGCCGGTTTTCAATACTCAGTCCTGTTCCCCTTGCCCCATTTCTAGTGAAGAGCACTTGGTTTGCAAAAGGATGATGACTATTTACTGTGCACGTTTATCCTGTCTCTGTTTTCTCTTATTCTTCTGACCTTCGACCACCTACTGGTCTTCAGCTGCCGTTTTCTTCTTCGTGGAAGTCATCATTGTTGCTTACAGTCCTCGATAACCCTTTATTGCATCTTTATGAGGCTGATAATCAGAGCAATTAATTGCCAGCTTCTTTATCAAAAGGCAAAGTGTTAGAAAGAATTGGGACAATTCCTATCCTGGTCCCAGATCTACACAAAATCTTGGTGTGGCCTTTGTAAATCACTTAATTTAAATTAAGGACCTGAATTTCTCATGTGCAAAATGCAGAGAATGGGCCGAGGTGACCTCTAAGTAGTCAATGTCAATGTTTGTCTAAGTCTAAAGGTTTTACTAATTCCATGAAAAGAAAACAAAATTCAGAAGGGAAAAAATAAAGTCATAGGGGAAAGAGAACTTAAAACCACAGGGTGAAATTTATTTCATAGAAACAACAATCTTGAAAATAAACCTGAGCATGTTTGGCAAGGTTCTAAAAGAATATGTATAGCTGGAGTCTCTTTTTTTTTTTTTTTTAATTTTCTAGAGGCATGTCTTATTTATTTATTTATTTATTGTTTGTTTGTTTGTTTGTTTGATACATGCACTGGGTACAGTCAGAAGCGTGGGAGGGTGAGAGAATTCACCAGAGCCAGAGCGGGGAGCAGAGCAGGCAGAAGGACCGAAGTACACTGCCGAGGGGAGCAGCGGGCGGCAGGAGAGGTCTGCGCGCCATGTGGGACCCTCCTCTGGTGGCCGGGGAGCAGCCGGGGATCGAACCGGCTGCAGAGGCTGCAGGCAGCTTCGCAACCCAGCGCTCAACCGCTGCGCCACCGGGGAGGCCCAGCTGGAGTCTCTTTTAATTCACACCATTTTATAGAAATTTTATCTTAGACAAAGATTTTTTTATGTATGTGATCTAGATTTTTGGCATTTTCTACTTCTGAGAGGCAATAGTCAACAATGCATTTAGTGTTCGGTATTTTTTATTTCCTCATAACAGTGGCCACGCAGACATAAACATAAATTTCTAAGGTATATAATCTGGACAACTTAACAGTCTACCAATGTCTTTTTGTTCTGGCATGTGAACTGGTTCAGGAGACAGCAGATAAGATGGTAACAGCAAACCTATCTCTGTATGTCTATGGTGCTCACTCCACCCAGGACTGTGTTCATTCAATCCTTGAAGCAACCACAGAGGTCGCTTTGTTTTTTTTTGTTTTTTAAGATTTATTTATTTATTTATACAAGCACTGGGTACAGTCAGAAGCACGGGAGGGTGACAGAATTCACGAGTCAGAGTGGAGAGCAGAACTGGCAGACTGACGAAACACACTACTGAGGGGAGCAGCGGGCAGCAGGAGAGGTCTGCGCGCCATGCGGGACCCTCACCCCGGTGGCCGGGGATCGAACCGGCGCTGCAGAGGCTGTGGGCAGCTTCGCAACCCAGAGCTCAACCACTGCGCCACCAGGGAGGCCCGAGGTTGCTTTGTTTTTATTTCAGCAGTGTCTGTATTTCAAAGCTAGGGAGCCACAGCACAGAGGTGGAGTGACTAGGCTGAAATTGACTAGGGTGGCAGCTCCAAGATTCCAACCCCAGCAGTCCCACTCCTGTGTCTCCTCTTAGCTGCCCTACTCACTACCATCAGCAACAGAGGTGCAGCATGAGTGAAAATATGACTCCATGAGGACTGTGGATTACAACCACTTTCATCAACAGGCTCTGAATTTTTAAAAATACATGGTCTAACAACAGGAAGAGGATTACACTCAAAGACATCTCAAAAGAGACATATTTTTAGGAATTGTGGAAGCAGCAAATATTCAGAATTTCAGATAAGAGTTTCTTCTTAAAATAGTTACTTTCAAAGATTATTAGATATTTTCTTGAGATTCAGTAAAAAAACAAACAAAACCAAATTTGGCATTTCTTCCCACTGTGTGCACACTGAGCAGGGAAGCATGCAGGAAATATTTAGGATTTAGTGTTCATAGCATATCCATTTAGAAGATGAAATTGCTTGGGATAAAATGCCACTGATTATTTTTCTAAGTTCAGTTTCATGCAAAATAAAAAGACGAAAAGTTAGTAACAAGAGGAAAAGTCAAAATTACTTCGTATTTAAGGTAATTTACCTGAGAGGGGAAGGTCTGGGAGATCCAGGCGTTGAGTCATGGTTTTGCTGGCTGGCCGAAGACTGCTGTAAGCTGAATGCCTCTAAAAAAAAGCCAAAGTGCACATTGAGCATGGGTAGACCTGAGACATCAGGAACAGCACAGACACCAGTGTGCGGCACATATGGGCACACACAACACTTCCCAACCATGTTAGAATTGTCAGGGGGAGCTTTTAAAAGAAGTTATTTATTTGACTAAGTGATCAATGTAATTGGTAAGATTCTCAAAAGGAATAGAAAGAACAAAGTGAAAAGAAAATCTCCCTTTCACACCCACCAACCAGTCCTTCTCCCTGGGAGTAATCATTAATTAGCTTTGTGAGTAACTTCCTGGAATATTCTACATATATTTAAGTAAAAATACTGTTTTTAAGTGGCCAACGAGTATATGAGAAGATGCTCAATATCAGTATTCATCAGGGAAAGGCAAGCCACGAGATGTCACCGCACTTGTCAGGATGTTAAAAAAAGAACAGAAAATAAGTGTTAGTGAGGATGTTGAAGAGCCAATATGCACTGTTGATGGGAATGTAAAATGGTGTGGCTGCTACGGAAAATAGTGGAGAAATTCCTCAAAAAATTAAAAATATAACTATCATATGATCCAGCAATTCCATTTCTGGGTATTTATCCAAAAGAACTGAAATCAGGATCATGTACACCCACATTCATTAAAGCATTATTCACAACAGTCAAGAGGGAAAAACAACCTAAAGTCTATTACAGATGAATGGATGAAGAAAATGTGGTATTTACCTATAACAGGGTATTATTTGAATCTTAAAAGGAAGATAATCCTGTCACAATACAAATGAACCTGAGGTCATTACATTAAATGAAATAACGTCACACAAGAATAAATACTACATGATTCCACTTCCAAGAGTTAACTGAAGTATTCAAATTCACAGAAGCAAAAAGCAGAATTGTGATTGCCAGGGACTCACGAGAGGAGGAAGTGGGTGTTGCTGTTTAATGAGTACTGAGTTCCAGTCACACAAGATCAAAAAGTTCTAGAGATTACTGTATAGTATAGTTAACAATACTTTATTGTACACTAAAATTTTTTAGAGTGTCAATTTCATGTTTTGTGTTTTTACACAATTTTTTTTTTATAAAGCATTGCAGAATGCAAGTGGGGGTGATGTAACTAAAGGGAAACTCCTGAGGAAAAATGCTGTTTAAAACACAAATGGCTTTATTATGTTATGCTGTGTGAACACTGTGTTTCTTTTGTTTTTCTTCACTTACTATATCTGGGAAGTTTTTCTTCACTTACTATATCTGGGAAGTTTTTCTTCACTTACTATATCTACCCTGGGCTGGAGCTGCCCTTCACTTATTCCCTGCTGGGCAGTATCCACTCTCTTTATAGATTCACAGAGAGGCTCCATGGCACGGAAAGTAAGGACATGGCTCTGAAGTCAGCCTGTACCAATTAGCTCTGTGACGCTGGGCTGCTTAATTCTCTATGCTTTATTTTCTTTATGTATATAACAACAATAATACTTATAGTACCTACCCCAGAGGGCTGTTGGAGGGTTAAATGAGTTAAAATCTATCCAGAATCAAAAGAGAGTCTGGTACAAACATTCAATAAATGTTAGCTGTCTCCATTACCACAATTTATTTGATTGATCCTTTATTAATATTGGTATTGGTACTGATATTGGCATTATGAACAATGCTGCAAAGACTATCCTGGCACATGTGAGTACAGTGTTGAGACTTTCTGGAGCATTCTTTCTTTTAGAGGCTCCACTCAACGTCATACTTACTCATCAGGATACAACATACACCCATATCCCACATAAACCTAATACCGTGGCATACAATTCCAAGAGTATTTTTTTTTTTCATCAACTATATTTATTTTTTTTTTTTTTTTATTAGATAATAAATTTTATTGTTATATTCCCCATACAATTGCAGCGCCCCCATTCTGACCCCAATCCCTCCCCTCCCGCCCCTGCCCCCCTAAAAGTGTCTCTGGTTCATAGTTTTTTGTTGATTTTGATTTTCACTTTCTTATAGTTATTCATTTTCCTGGTCCCTTATTTAAGTTTTCTAGATTCCTGCTATGAGTGAGACCATCCGGTATTTTTCTTTTTCTTTTTGGCTTATTTCGCTGAGCATGATCCCTTCCAGCGCCATCCATGTTGCTGCAAATTGCATGTGTTTATCTTTTTTGAATGCTGAGTAATATTCCATGGTATATATGTACCACATCTTCTTGATCCAGTCATCTATTTTTGGGCATTTGGGTTGTTTCCAAAGCTTAGCTATTGTAAACAGTGCTGCTATAAACATAGGGGTGCAGGTGTTCTTTGGAATTGATGTTTCTGTGTCCTTTGGGTAAATACCTAGGAGTGGAATTGCTGGATCATATGGAAGCTCTATGTTTAGTAGGTCCAGAAATCTCCACACAGCTTTCCACAGTGGTTGGACCAGTTTGCACTCCCACCAACAGTGCAGAAGAGTTCCTTTTTCTCCACACCCTCGCCAACATTTGTTGTTGCTAGTTTTTTTAATATGTGCCATTCTCACTGGTGTAAGATGGTATCTCATGGTAGTTTTGATTTGCATTTCCCTGATGACAAGTGATGTTGAACATTTTTTCATATGCCTGTTGGCCATTTGCATTTCCTCTTCAGAGAAGTTTCTTTTTAGCTCTTCTGCCCATTTTTTGACTGGATTATTTTCTTTGTTGTTGTTGAGTCTCATCAGCTCTTTGCACATTTTTGTGATCAGTCCTTTATCATTAGTGTTGGGTGCAAAAATGTTCTCCCAGTTGGTGGGGTTTCTCTTTGTTTTTGTTATTGTCTCTTTTGCTGTGCAGAAGCTCTTTAATTTGATGTAGTCCCAGCTGTTTATCTTCGCCTTCACTATCACTGCTTTGGGTGATGTGTCTGTAAAGATGTCTTTGATGTGCAAATCACGTAGTGTTTCGCCTATATTTCCTTCTATATATTTTATGGTTTCAGGTCTTATGTCTAATTCTTTAATCCATTTTGAGTTGATTTTTGTGTATGGTGTGAGGTAGTGGTCAAGCTTCATTCTTTTGCATGTAGCGACCCAGTTTTCCCAGCACCATTTATTGAACAAACTTTCTTTGCTCCAATGCATAGTCTTTGCTCCTTTGTCAAAGATTAGTTGACCATAAATCTGTGGGTTTATTTCTGGATTTTCTATTCGATTCCATTGGTCTGTATGTCTGTTCTTGTTCCAATACCATGCAGTTTTGATGATTATGGCTTTGTAGTATTGTTTGAAGTCTGGGAGTGTGATGCCTCCATTCCCTTCTTTTTTTTCAGGAGAGCTTTGGCTATTCGGGGTTTTTGTGATTCCATATGAATTTCATCAATAATTGTTCTATTTCTTTGAAGAATGACAATGAAATTTTGATTGGAATAGCATTGAATCTGTATATTGCTTTTGGAAGGATGGCCATTTTAATAATGTTTATTCTTCCAATCCATGAGCAGGGGATATCTCTCCATTTCTTTGTGTCTTCTTCTATTTCTTTTAACAGTGTTTTATAGTTTTCTTTGTATAGGTCCTTTACCTCTTTTGTTAGATTTATTCCCAAATATTTGATTTTTTTTGTTTCAATAACGAAAGGGATGGTTTTTTTGATTTCTTCTTCTTTGGATTTATTGTTTGTGTATAGGAAGGCTACTGACTTTTGCGTGTTGATTTTGTATCCTGCCACTTTACTGAACTGATTGATGAGTTGAATTAGCTTTTCTGTGGAGTTTTTGGGGTTCTCTATGTATAATATCATATCGTCTGCAAATAGTGATAGTTTGACTTCTTCTTTTCCTATTTGGATTCCTTGGATGTCTTTCTCTTGTCTTATTGCCCTGGCTAGGACTTCCAGTATTATATTGAAAAGCAGTGGTGAGAGTGGACATCCTTGTCTTGTTCCAGATCTTAATGGAATTGCTTTCAGCTTTTCACCATTGAGAATGATACTGGCTGTTGGCTTGTCATAGATGGCCTTTATGATGTTGAGGTATGTTCCTTGTATCCCAAGAATTTCAAGGGCTTTTATCATGAATGGGTGTTGCACTTTGTCGAAAGCTTTCTCAGCATTTATTGATATTATCATATGGTTTTTATATTTCTTTTTGTTGATGTGTTGGATAACGTTGATTGATTTTCGGATGTTAAACCATCCTTGTGTCCCTGGAATGAATCCTACTTGGTCGTGGTGAATTATCTTATGGATACATTGTTGGATTCTGATGGCTAAAATTTTATTGAGGATTTTTGCATCAGTGTTCATTAGGGAGATTGGCCTGTAGTTTTCCTTTTTTGTGTTGTCCTTGTTCGGTTTTGGTATTAGTGTAATGTTGGCTTCATAGAACGTGTTTGGTATTGTCCCTTCCTTCTCAATTTTTTGGAAGAGTTTGTGAAGGATAGGCACTAATTCGTCTCTGAATGTTTGGTAGAATTCATTTGTAAATCCATCAGGTCCTGGGCTTTTGTTTTTGGGGAGGTTTTTGATTACCATTTCAATTTCGCTAATTGTAATTGGTCTGTTTAGGTGTTCTATTTCTTCTTTATCTAGCTTTGGGTGATTGTAGAGTTGTAGGAATTTGTCCATCTCCTCTAGATTGTTAAACTTGTTTCCATATAACTGTTCATAGTAGTTACTGATTATTCTTTTGATTTCTGCTGTGTCCGTTGTGATTTCTCCTCTTTCATTGATGATCCTGTTTATTTGTGCTTTCTCCCTTTTTTCCTTTGTGAGCCTGGCTAGGGGTTTGTCTATTTTATTGATTTTTTCAAAGAACCAGCTCTTGGTTTCATTGATCTTTTGGATTGTTTTTTTAGTTTCAATTTCATTTATTTCTGCTTTGGTTTTTATTATTTCTTTTCTTCTACTGGTTTTGGGGTTTTTTTGTTGTTCTTTTTCTAGATCTTTGAGCTTCGAGATTAGGTTGTTTCTTTGAGTTCTTTCTTGTTTCTTGATGTGAGCTTCTATTGCTATATATTTTCCTCTTATTACTGCTTTTGCTGCATCCCATACATTTAG